CCGGGCTGGGGATTCGAACCCGCCACCTTAGGTGTACGTGGCTGGCGCCTTAGCCGGTTGAGCTATAGGCACCGAGCCCATCTTTTTTTTTTAAATGGAGTCTTACTCTGTTGCCCAGGCTAGAGTGGTGTGGCATCAGTCTTGCTCACAATTACCTCAAACTCCCTGGTTTAAGTGATCCTCTTGCCTCAGCCCCTTGAGTAGCTGGGAGTACAGATGCTGCCACAATGCCTGGCTAATTTTTCAGTAGAGACAGGGTATTCCTCTTGCTCAGACTGGTCTCAAACTCCTGAGTTCGAGCAGGAGCTCCTGCCTTGACTTCTTGGAGTACTAGGATAACAGGCATGAGCCACCATGCCTGACCTGGAGCTGAGTTCTTAAAGTACCTGAAAGTTTACAGAATGTATTCATGCCCATCATCTGAATTCGTTCTCATGACACTCCTGTGAGTTGGACAGAGGCACTATTATCATCCCTGATTTTCAGGTAGGGAAACAGCTGGTAAGTAGCAAAGCTGAGATTTGAACCCAGGACTGGCTGACCATAAGACCTGCATACTTTCTACTGTTGCCTACTCCTAGCTAGAAGAAGGGCCTCATTCTGGCCTTCCAATGATGGTTTACCACCTGTCCAGGCAATCTGAGGTTTAGGCTAGATGTCAGCAGAAGTGCTGGAGTGAAAGGGTCTAGAGAGGGGCTCTGTGGGCCTGTCTTTCCTATGGAGGTGGTGAGCTGGGGAGCAATAAGGGAGGATCCTTAGAGGGAGGATACTGACAGACTGGATTGGGGGTCCCTTTCAAGCTTTCAGGTTTTCATGAGTTCTGCAAGAGAAGGCCAGAGGATTTGTGCTGAGGGACCATATCTTCTTTGTGCTAGTCCATGGCATGGTACCTGGCAAATAATGAGCTCAATGACTGCTTGTTTAAAAATGAACAAAAGGGGTTGGCGCCTGTGGCTCAAGTGGCTAAGGTGCCAGCCACATACACCTGAGCTGGCGGGTTCGAATCCAGCCCGGGCCCGCCGAACAACAATGACAACTGCAATCAAAAAAATGGCTAGGCGTTGTGGCGGGTGCCTGTAGTCCCAGCTACTTGGGAGGCTGAGGCAAGAGAATTGCTTAAGCCCAGGAGTTGGAGGTTGCTGTGAGCTGTGATGCCAGGGCACTCTACCCAGGGCAATAGCTTGAGGCTCTGTCTCAAAAAAAATAAAAATAAAAATGAACAAAAGGATGAATGTTTTGGGTGCATATACCCCTAAGTGTGAGGACTGCTGTTTTCTCCATTTATACATTCATAAACTTCATAACTAACATTCTAACATTCATTGAACATCTATTATATATACTAGGCACTTATAATTCATGTTCCAATTTAATTCTTACAATCCTGTGAGGTCAGAAAGAATGCCTCTACTGCCCCACGTATAAGGTGACCATGAACTTGGCCTCCCAACTTCAGGCTCACAACACAAGTCAGTGGTCCCAGGAGCTGGAGCTCATGGGAAGAGGAGGACAGGGAGGAAATTCAGGCTCAGAGAGGTAAGGTTAGTTGCCCAAAGATGCACAGCTACTAAGTGGCTGGGTTACAGTCTGAAGCCAGAGGCTGCTTGCTTTGGAGCTCAAGTATGAGAATGCATTCTGTAAACCTCAGGACCACACACATGTGATGATGAGGGCAAAGAAAAGGATTCGCCCCTTGTGAGACCTAAATCCTGCCTGCCATTGATCTGTCCCCTGCTCAGCTCTTACACCTGGATGGGGCATGTGAATGAATGGTGACCTCACACTCTTCCCTCCCCAGAACCAGGCCGAAGCACATTACAAAGGCCACAAACATGCCAGAAAACTCAAGGCTGTTGAAGCTGCCAAGAGTAAGCAGAGGCCACAAACCCTGGCCCAGGATGGGGCAGTGGTGTCCCCAATCCCAGCGCTGGCCAGTGGGGCCCCTGGAGAGCCAGAGAGCAAAGGTCAGTCTTAAACTCTTCTCTGCCCCTCCCAGCTCCATTCTGAAATCTGGTTTCCAAGGAAGGGTTGAGAGATTTCTGCTTATTGATTTTGCATGTGTTAGAGTATTCCATACATGCATGCAAAGGCACACAAATCTATAGCTCGAGGAATATTCCCAGCCTTGAGCCCTTCCCAGTCACTACCTGGCTGTATTAATTTCCCAGGGCTGCCATCACAAGTGACTACAAACTGGGTGGCTGCAAACAGCAGAAATGTATTTTCCCATGGTTCTGGAGGTCAGAAGTCTGAAATCAAGGTGTTGACAGGGTTGGTTCCTTCTTGTGGACTCAGAAGGAAAAACTGCCCCCTGCCTCTCTTCCAGCTTCTGGTGGAGGCTAGTAGTCCTCACCTTGGCTCGTAGCTGCATCTATGATCTCTGCCTCCATCTTTATACCATGTTCTCCCTTATGTGTCTCTGTGCTCCACGTGCTCTTCTCATAAGGACACCAGTCACTGTATTAGTCCTACCCTAACCCAGCATGACCTCGTCTTAACTAATTTTATCTGCAAAGATCCTGTGTCAAAACAAGGTCACATTCTGAGGTTCCAGATAGACATGAATTTTGGGGGGAGTAACTATACAACCAACTATAGATCCTGATTTTTCTGTGCATATGTCAGTTTCACTTGGTTTTGGTGAATCAGAGTATGCAGGTTGTGTCTTGGGTGTTGTTCATCTCTCGTGGTCATCAACATTCACTGTGTCTGTTAAGATTCCTTCATGTTGGCCAGGTGTGGTGGCTCATGCCTGTAAGTCCTAACACTCTGGGAGGCCGAGGTGTGTGGATTGTCTGAGCTGACAGGTTCGAGACCAGCCTGAGCAAGTGAGAGATCCTCTGTCTCTAAAAATAGCTGGGCTTTGTGGCAGGCGCCTGTAGTCCCAGCTACTCAGGAGGCTGAGGCAAGAGGATCTCTTGAGCTCAAGAGTTTAAGGTTTCTGGGAGCTATGATGCCATGGCACTCTACCCAGGGTGACAAAGTGAGACTCTGTCTCAAAAAAAAAAAATAAAAAGAAAAAAATCTCATCTTTTGCTGATGAACATTTGGATAGTTTGGATAGTTTCCAGTTTTATGCTATTATATATAGTGCTGTATGGACATTCTAGTACATCTTTTTAGTGATTTCTGCTTGCTTAACATCAAGCAAATAACTAGAATTCCAGGGCTGCAAGGGCTCTCTGAGACTATTCTGTCCAACATTATAAATTCTGCTGGGGAGACTGAGGCACAAGTCTCCTCAGTGAGTTGGTAGGAAAGTGGGGCCTGGGATCCAGTGCTGGTCAACCCTTCACCAAGGACCCCTCCACCCTACTATGCCACCCCCATCATCAGTGCTTGGAATCATGGTCCCTAGAATCATCTTGGGCCTCACACTCTCCCTCAATGCCTTCCATCCCACAGTGGTTCCCGTAGGTCTTCCTCTCGGCCCTTCATTCCAGCCACCACTGACTCCAGACCCTGCACCCAGGGAGCCAGCACACGCAGACATCTTGGATGCTGCCTCCTCTTCCTCTTCTTCCTCCTGCCCACCTTGTTCCCCAGAGCCTGGGAGGGAGGCGCCAGGGCCCGAGCCAGCAGCAGCGGCTATGGAAAGCAGCGTGAGTGGGGAAGGCAGGAGCGAGAAGGGGCGCCTCTACTGCCCCACATGTAAGGTGACCGTGAACTCAGCCTCCCAACTTCAGGCTCACAACACAGGTCAGTGCTCCCAGGAGCTGGAGCCTGGGGGAGGAGAGGGACAGGGAGGCTTGAGATCTTGGGGTGCTTCTCTCAAGGATGGGATGGCAGACGTGTTGTATGCAGCTGTCACTGGGCAGGCATTGCTGGGTCCTCCTGTTAATCCCTGGGGAGGGAGAACTGGGATGAGGAATTGGAGGCAGCAAGAACTAGAAGTCACTAAATCTCTGAAAGGTCACTCCAGAGAAGACTGGAGACACCTCCTCCATCTTTCCTTAGACCAGAACCAGAGGGATTAAGATTAGAGCAAGAGTGAAGCCAATAAGACAGACCCTAAGAGGTGAGATCAGATGCAGCTGGAGGGCAGTGTATGTGCAGAGCAGCCATGAGGCTTAAAAGGACAGTCAAACTGACCTAGTACAGGGGTTTAGGAGGTTTCTCCATGGCTCTTCAGCGCTGACAGACTTCTCCTCCTCCAGGAGCCAAGCACCGATGGATGGTGGAGGGGCAGCGAGGGACTCCCCGCAGGGGCCGGGGCCGCCCAGTGCCCCGGGGAGGGGCTGGACACAAGGCCAGGAGAGTGACAGGTGGCCGGAGTGGCCGGCAGGGGCCCACCCCTCCTTTCCACTGTGCTCTCTGTCAGCTCCAGGTCAATTCAGAGACTCAACTCAAACAGGTGGGAAAAGTGGGACCAGGACTGGGGTTGGAGCCAGGGGTGAGGGCCAGGGCAGTACAAGTGTTAAAGTGGCAGGGTGGCTTGAGGTAGTCCCCAAAATAATTGAAGAAAACAAGGTTTTAGCAAGAAAAAGGAAGTTTATCAACAATCTGCATAGCAGGCCAGGCCTGTTCTGGTGACTGTAGGCTCCATGGAAAGTGCAGTTTTAAGTTATACAGGCACTTTGAGAAGTATCAGCTCAGCTGCTTCTTGGAAGTCTGCTGGGGTCTTAATTAACTCTGTTCTCAAAACAACCCGCCTGCAAGGTCTTAATCAGCCTCTTTCCCATAATAGCCCAGGTCAGCCTGACCCGAAACAATCCAAAATAGCCTCACCAGTCCATCATCTTCCCTGCTTATATCTAGCTAACTACCGAACACAAGGCAGAAGAGAAGAGGAGCCCTGTTGAGAGAAGCCTGGAGAGAGGGTGGGTAGAACAGAATAGGGCAGGCTGGAGAGGCAGGATTGAGGCCAGTTGGCCATGGGCTCCTTACGGTGAAGGTCAAGTCTTACCTCCCCTTGCCAGGGCCTGCCCTGGGGGAGGATCAGGCAAGGTGCTCTGACCATGTGGGTAAAGAAAGGTAAGACAGTTGAAGATGACAGAGTAGTCCTGTGGTCCTTGGGTTTCCTCGTCTTGTCCCCAGTCTGTCCATCTGTCTGTTCACTAGCACATGAGCAGCAGGAGGCACAAAGACCGCCTGGCCGGGAAGCCCCTCAAGCCCTCCAGCCAGCACAGCAAGCTACAGAAGCATGCGGCGCTGGCCGTGAGTATCCTCAAGGTATCTGTCTCCAGGCAACAGAGCTGGGACCCGGGTGGGGAGGGAGAGGGTGGGCTGATAGGGAGGGCCAGCTGGAGGTGGGGCAGGAAAGGAGTTGGGGTTGGGTTTTTGGCTGTCCTGGGATCTGACCAGAGGAATTTCCGGGGAGGTGGGCTAGGGTAGCAGCCAGACTTGGGCAGGAACCTTACCACAAGCGTGAAGGGGTGGGTGTGGGTCTCCTAGACTATCCCCTCCCCTCCCCTTCCCTTTCTCCCACCCTGAGATTTTCCTCCCTCTGGGCAGGAAGACAGGTGGTAGAGAAAGCCCTTTGGAATGAATGTTTGGAGGTGGAAAGGGAGAAGGATTTAGATTTGGAACTCTAAAAGTCACGTTTTTCCTACAGCAAAAGGCCCAAGGATGGGGGCCAAAGGAGCGGGGTGGGATCTTCTGAGTTACACTGTGTCCACTCTTTTTTTTTTTTTTTTTCTGTGTAGTCTAAACTGGCCTTGCAGAAGCAACTCACCAAGACGCTGGCAGCCCGTTTCCTACCCAGCCCACTCCCCACTGCAGCCACTGCCATCTGTGCCCTGCCTGGGCCCCTGGCTCTCCGGCCTGCCCCTACAGCAGCCACTACCCTATTTCCAGCTCCAATTCTGGGCCCAGCTCTGTTTCGCACCCCAGCAGGAGCTGTTCGTCCTGCCACGGGACCCATCGTCTTTGCCCCCTATTAGCCCTCATAGGGAGGCCAGGGCTGAGTTCCCAACAGCCATCTCCTGTCCCCAAGATGCCGGTTTTTTACATCCCAAAGGGACTGTTTTCCAGTTTAGGGAGTCTTGCCAGAACTAGGAAGGGCTGGGCTAGTTATGAGGGCAGCTTACCTTCCCTGTCTGGACTGGGGATTCAACCAGTACCTTCCTGATCCAAGGAGCACCCCCACCCTCCTTTCCCAGGCTTTAGGGGGCTAGTTCTAGGGTTTTCTGCACTTCCCAGTCTGATAAATCCCAAAGATCTATGCAAAATCCAGCCCCAGCCATGTGGTGCTCTCATTTTTATGGACCCAAGACCTATACCCTACGTACACCTACGTGGCCAGTCTTAGAATCTCAGCTTCTACAAGCCAGCCTCTCTTAGCCAGGGACAAACCCATGACCACCACACCTGTGCTCAGGGCCTCACTTGTTTCTCTGGAAATAAGGTATGGGGCTCTCAAGTTGGAGCAGGCTCAAGGTTATCAGGACAAGGTGACCATGGGAATATGGCAAGGGACTGTGGAACAGAAAGGGGAACCCAAGAGTCCTTGGATCAAGCAGTGCTAAGGCAGGGCAGCACCTGGCAGGAGCTAGCTCTGAAATCTTCTGGAGGCCTCACCTGCTCTGAGAGGATGCAGCTAGGATGGGGCAGGTGACAATGTTCTGGGTGGGCCCAATTTCAATACAGGGTATGACCCATCCCACAAAAGCTCAGCCTTTTGCTGAGTCCTCCTGAACCCCAGTTCCTGGGGGGAGGTGTCACTGGGTGTCCCTCAGACTATGGACTCAGCTTATACCAACCCCCCACCCCAGGGGTCCCAAAAGAAGTTTCCCCTCCAGCTCCTTACCTCCAAGCTGGTCCCTAGCACTAAATTCAGCTTTCTCTTCTCACCCCACTGTGAAGCAGAGTGCTGGGATACAGTCTGACACCCGTGTGTAGGACCCATCTTCATGCTGTCAAAGTCAATGTCACAAACTCCATCCCACCCAGCACTGCCCTTACCCCACAACATGGGACTTTGCCAGTATCCACTTGTATTTTGTTTTTTTAAAAAAAAATTTCCTAAGGGAGAACAAGAAAAAGGGGGGAGGGGAGGAAAACTTTTTGATAACAGCAGTTGTGGTTTTATTGTATCCAATGCATCAATAAATTAACTTGAACCCCCAAGCCTGTACATGTCCTAATTCTACTCACCCAGCCATGGGCCTGCTCACTTCTCCTGTTTTGGAGAGAGGTGCATTGTATTGGAGGTTGCCTGGCTGCAGTGTGTTCCCCAAGCTAGGTGTGCACACTAGTAGCACAAGGTGGGCACAGGAAGTTGTGGGTTATAAGCTCACTGTACAGCCTGTCTGAGCGTGTAACCACCTCTGAGGCCCGACAGATGACCTGTCAGCTCCTGAGAAGCTGCTACTGGTTTGCCTTTGCTCTGTTCAGGCATCTGAGGTAAGAAGGGCTTTAAAGGAGCACCTTGTCCAGCCTTCACCATGGCAGCAGGTGTATAAATACAGATAAATAGAAGTCTAGCTATGAACTAGAAATAACCACAGGAAGGGGTGAAGACCAGCCCCAGGGCGATATGTCTGCAGACTGGGCACCCAAGTGGAAAGTGAACTCCTGCCCCCTGGTGGTTGGTAGGAGAGCATGTCCCAGCCACCAGGGCTGGCAGGCATAGCACCTTGAAGAGGGAGAAACCATAGCTTTATAAAACCAGACAGCTGGAGAGGATCCAGATCAGCTAAGCAACTCCTGTTACTTTACAGACGAGAAAAATGGCGCTGAGAGGGGAAAGGTCTTGCTGGGTCACAAAGTCAGCTAGTGACTCACAGCCCAGCCATTGCTCCATTCTACCTCAACGAATGAGGCCCATCTGCTCCCTGAGCAGAAAGAGGAAGTTAAACAATTGGGGGTGGGGGTTGTTTACAACAGAAAATTACACTCTTAGGAGGCCTGCTTCGTCTAGCTAGGGAATTGATAGGAGAAAGGTCAGGGTAAGAGAAGCGGAGGCACCAGTAATGCCAGCACATATACCCACAATACCTGGATACATTTTCTCTAGAAATGTCACTATAGTCACTATGTGACTATGCTGACTATTGAGTGTGTGTGGGTATGTGTGTGTTACTGGCAGGAAACCCAGAAGGTGGACCCCTATGATAGAAATCAAACTAAATAAAATGGGCACTTCTGGATGGTAGCTCTGCTTCCCGTCTAGGGCAGATGGAAGGGACGCTGACCCACAACCGCCCCAGGAGACAATGGAGATTATGATGAAAGCTAGGGGTTGGGAAGAGGGTAGGATGTTTAAGGGGAGGAGGTGCTAACCAAGATTATTTGCACTTCTGGAAGTTGACAGGGAGCAAAAGGCTTGGGCCACTCCCCTGCTGACTGGGAAGGACGGATTGCCTGCCTCCCCTACCTCCTTTTGCCTTCAACCCATTTTCTGTAGCCCCAGAAGCTGGAATAGGGCTGGGAGGGTGAAGAAGGAATGGCAGGTCTTCAGCCATCCAAGGAGCCACTACCCTTGTTCTTTCGGCTGAGAGGGAAGGCAGACTTGCTCTGGGGCTGGGTCATCTTGCTGGCCAGGTAGATGAAGGGCTCCAGGAGGGAGCGGCGATCAGCCACAGACACCTCCCACAGCTTCACCTTCTCTGACTTGGCCCAATGCTGAGCCACGTCTGGGTCTACACGCCGCTGCTCCTGGAGATCGCACTTGTTGCCAAGAACCACAATAGTGACCTAGGGAAGGAAGAAAGAGTAGAGACCTGTAGATATACCAGGGACCCAGAATGGGTTTAGGGGCTGGTAGCCACCTAGGAAATCTATGAGAGAAGAGTCTCAGTGACTGATGACTCATTTTCCAATATTAGAAACCACTGATGGGTTGGGTAGAGCCTGTGGCTCAGTGAGTAGAGCATCGGCCCCATATACCGAGGGTAGCGGGTTCAAACCCAGCCCCGGCCAAACTGCAACAAAAAATAGCCAGGCATTGTGGTGGGTACCTCTAGTCCCAGCTACTCGGGAGGCTGAGGCTAGAGAATTGCCTAAGCCTAGGAGTTGGGAGGTTGCTGTGAGCTGTGAAGCCATAGCACTCTACCAAGGGCAATAAAGTGAGACTCTGTCTCTAAAAAAAAAATAAAATAGAAACCACTGATGGGATGCTTGTTTTTTCTTCCTCCTCGGTTGAAATTCTGGCCTCCATCTGGCCCTCTCTCTAGGAGTTCCATCATAGCCCTATTATCACCCATATATGCTCATTATACCACTCATTTCCTGGCTAAACAACTGGTGGGGAAGCGCACCCAGGAATACTTATAACTTACAGGGGGGTTTTGGAAACCAAAAAGGCCTTCATAGCTAAGAACATAGAACTGTCAAGAAAGATTGGCCAGGCGCCTATAGCTCAACCGGCTAAGGCGCCAGCCACGTACACCTAAGGTGGCGGGTTCGAATCCCCAGCCCGGACCGCCAAACAACGACGGCTGCAACCAAAAAATAGCTGGGCACTGTGGCGGGCGCCTGTGGTCCCAGCTACTTGGGAGGCGGGGGCAGGAGACTCGCTTGAGCCCAGGAGTTGGAGGTTGCTGTGAGCTGTAATGCCACGGCACTCTACCCAGGGGGGACAGCTTGAGGCTCTGTCTCAAAAAAAAAAAAAAAGAAAGATTAGTGGGGACTTCATGTGTTAAGTCAGGGACCCCATAATCTAAAGAGAAGCCTCTTTAGTTGAGTAGCCTCAACACATGCCCACCTCTGGGGTGAAGACATTCTCAATGGCCTCTACCCTACCTTAAGCTCCAAACCCACCTCCTGGTGAATAAGTAAAGAATGGAGCCATGCCAGGCCCCTGAAAGCCAGCCCAGAGCCCATGCTCTCCCACTACTGATGCTCCCAAAGAGCCTAGGCCATGCACCTCTTTCTTGTCCTTGGATTTGTCAATCTCCTTCTTGAGCAATTCCACACGCTGAAAAGATTCTCGGCTGTCAGTGCTGTAGACCAGGACATAGCCATCAGTGCAGGAGAAGCAGTGTCGGGGCAGCTCAGCCCCATCTCGGAGCCCCCGGGTGTCGTAGAAACGCACCTGCTCCCGCACCCCCCGGTCTGTCTCAATAGAGCCCACATATATGTCCTCCTGTGTCTCGATCATCTCAGAACCTGGAATAAAATGAAAAAACTATTTGAAGTGGGGAAATGGGAATGTGAATTAGAGGGCATTGCAACAGGCAGACCAGACAGGGAAAGGGGACTGCCTGCAGGGCCCTGGGAGATGGGACTGAGGAGTATAAGCCAGGGAATAGACAGTCTGGCAGGACTGAAATGATTCCAGGAAACACACATTAATCTCATGCTAATACCATGCTAAGCACAGTGTGACATGAGAGCTTGTCCTCCATATCTTGGATATTGGGTTTCCTCCCTCCAGATTTGTTTAATGTAGAGTTGGGGTTTACAATGTTTTACTCTTCAGGGTGCAAAAACCACCAGGAGCAGCTCTTAGCCTTTGCATAGTGTGATCAAATCCTACTCCTTATCCTTCAACTTCTTCCACCATTCCCCCACCCACAACAACACTCACCCACTACATGGTTCCCATACAGAAGCTGCTCCAGGATTGACGTTTTGCCCACAGATGCCTGGCCGCACACAACCACCTTGCAGCTCTTCCCCATGCTTAAGCCTTCAGCCTTGAGGAACAGAAGCACACTGAGTGAGGTGAGGAAAGAAAGGATCAAAATAGAAGGCAGACCTCCCATAACTAACAGCCCAGGGTTCTGAACTGACTACAAAGCCTCAGGGATTCCGTACATTCCTGATCTAGTGAAACCCAATTTGAACTGGGCTCAAATTGGCATTGAACCAATTTGTCTATATCCACTACTAGACAGTGAGCTGTATTTTATTCATCTTTGTTATTCTCAGTACATACCCAGTACCTGCCAGAGTGCAGGTGCTCAGTAAATGTTGTTATAAAGGAAGAGGAGTCACTGGTTTAAAGGAACCACTAGACAGGTTCCATTCCACACACATGATGTGGAGTGGACCAACTAGTTAGGGGAGCCCAGCCCACGTTCCTCTCTTCGACCATGACCCAAATGGAGAGAAACAAGCAGAAACAGTATTTTGTGCGGCTGTCTTAAATCACCTCACCTGGGGAAAGTGAGCAAGTAAAAAGGATATTTTACTTTTCTTTATGACATATGTGAACAATCAACCAATTCCCTCTAAGCCCCAGTCAAGTCCATGGCTAAGAGGAAAAACATCAGAGAAGAAAGGAGTGAAGGAATCTAAGGGAAAAAAGATTCCAAAGAATGACAATTTTTCTTTAGACAGAGTCTCACTTTGTCACCCTCGGTAGAGTGCTGTGGCATCACAGCTCACAGCAAACTCAAACTCTTGGGCTTAAGCGATTCTCCTGCCTCAGCTTCCCAGGTAGCTGGGACTACAGGCGCCCGCCACAACGCCTGGCTATTTTTGTTGCAGTTATCATCGTTAAATGGTCCCGGGCCAGGTTCGAACCCGCCAGCCTCAGTGTATATGGCTGGGGCCGTGACCACCGTGCTACAGGCGCCAAGCCAGAGAGACAATTTTTGTTGTCATTGCACTGAAAGACCCAAAAGAGAAACTCTATCTCTGAAAAGGCCCCAGAGATCTTCCCAAAGGCTCAGGGCAAAAATTCTCTACCGAGAGCAGACAGAGATGACTTCTCCAAAGGGTCCCAGAAAGAGAGGAAGCTACTGACACAGGCCCTCTCCCCACATAGTGAGCCCTGCAATTAAGGGCTACTCCCAAGATAGGCTGCCAGAGGAAACTCAGTCACAGATTTCCCCACGAGGGGGACCTCAGAGGGAATCAGAGGAAGAGACCTGCCACCTAAAGCGGCCCAATGACAGAGGACGATCCTGGCGATAGACAAGCCTCGCCTCCCAGATCCGCACCTCCCGGGGCCCCGCAGCTCCAGCCGGGCCCCTCGCAGCTTGCAGGGACCAGGGTGGGGCAGCGCGGCTGCAAAGGCTCCCCTCTTCCTTGCCGGTCAGCTAGCTCAGTCGGGTCTCGCCCGGTCCCCTTCCCGCCCCGCAGCTTCCGTACCGCAAGACAAATTCCGGCGGCGGAGAGCGGGCGCTGGTCGAACAGCACCCCCAGAGGCCGGAGGGGAAACGACAGCCTGGACCTGGCCTGTTGTGCTAAGGAGTTTCAGGTGTAAGCTCCCCGCCTGGCCTTGGGATGATATTCCGGTGTCACTGATGTCCAAATGTCCCAGGGGTCCTCAAACTTTCTATAGTTGGATATACAAGTCTGGAATTTGAATAAGGGTCTAGGTTGGAGATGTCAAAAGTTGAAAGTTATAAACAGGCTGGGCACTTGTAGCTCTGCTCTGCAGCTAGGGCACCAGACACATACACCAAAGTGGGCGGGTTTGAGCCCAGCCTGGGCCTGCTAAATAACAGTGACAACTGCAACCAAAACAAAAAAATAGCCAGGCGTTGTGGTAGGCACCTGTAGTCCCAGCTACTCGGGAGGCGGAGGCAAGAGAATCACTTAAGCCCAAGAGTTTGAGGTTGCTGTGAGCTGTGACGCCATGGCACTCTACCGAGGGCGACATAATGAGACTGTCTCAAAAAAACAAAATGAACTAAATTATAGCCTCAGACTCTCCGATTTAACCAACTTCATAAATATTGGTTTGGGTTAGGGAAGTACAACGACGATTAAACTGTGTCCTCGCTCCCTATGAGTTCTCAATCCGGACTGCATTCAACCAGAGGCGTGCTGAGTAGGGAGTTTATATGACAGGTGGGGTGCAGGTGTCACTGGGCTTCCTTATAAATTGTAGGGCACGGTCTAGGGTGCCATGTCATGCCAGCCTCCCTAGGCTTAATGCTGAGATGGCACTCCCAGGTGGCTGACATGAAAGTACCCGCATAAAAGGGTCAGCATCATTAGGGTGATGAACCAGTTGTGCCTGGAGATTCCAGGGGGATGAAAGGCGCGGGGTGAAGACGCCCTGCGTTCCCCCAGCTTGGCTGGGCAGGGCTTCCAGGGAACGATGAAAGCTGGGCGAACTGGGCTCAAAGTGTCTCTTCTTGTCATTCCCGAGAGGAAGCTGTGGACATACGCCAAGGCCAGGAAGGTAGCGCTGGGGACTTTTTCCCTCGAGTTTTGGGTCTCCAGGTCTTTACTCAACCAGACTCCCCAGAGCCTTACAGGACGCTCTCTACCACTGGAAATTGTTATGGCAGCAAGTCTCTTGGGATACTGAAAAAAGCCAAGCCCTAGAGAGACGACACCCTGTTATAATCCCCTTCTTCCCATCCAGGGGTAACGTGGCGCCCCCAACGCACAGAAACCGCCTTTGGGCCCCCGCCCAGGCGCGGAGACAGCCGTGGACCTCCGGGGACGGAGGGCCGCTCTGGTCCCAAGCGGAACCTCTCGCTGGTAGAAGGGCCCGAGGGAGCCCCTCTGGGCGCGTCGTCGCGGAGCCGCTCGATGCTCCGACCGGAAGTGCTCTTCGCCGCCTGCCTCCCACTTGGCTCTCTGGTCCCGGCGGTAAGATGGCGGCTGCCGCGGAGTGCGATGTGGTAATGGCGGCTACCGAGCCAGAGCTGCTAGACGACGAAGAAACGAAGAGGTAACAGGGTGGCAGGGTACTGGAGGGGGCGAGCTTCAGTTCCGGAGCTCAGGGAAACCCGTTCCTGCCATGCAGCAGCCCCCCAGCTTTTGAAGCGATGCTCCACCCTTCGCGAACACCCCCCAATCTCAGCGCAAGTCGGGATAGACCCCCCGAAAGGGCGCTCTTGGGGGGGTCGGCCTTCCCACCTGCTTCCGCCTGGCAGGGGAGCAGAGGCACAGTCCTGCTCTGCCGCTGAGGGGAGGGTCGACCTTACTGTGGAGCTCGGGTCTCAGTGTGGGGGAATCTCAGGTCTGTTGTGTAGTGGGGGGGCGGCGCGGCGTTGATGACGACTTCCTTGCATCGTCGCCGACCCCCGCCTTCTCTTGTTAACTTGAGTGCAGTGTTGACTGCACTTTTCATCTCCAAAGCACTTGTTCCCTTCCTCCTGTTTTCCCCAGTAATTGTACCTCAGTGACCGACCTCTAGTCTTAAGTCCGAGGTGATTGTGTGCCTCAATTATTGATTGACCTGGCCGCCCCCTGGCTACCCCAGAAGTCTTAAGATGATAGAGAAAAGCAGAGTGAGTGGTTTATCTCAGGTTCTAAACGTCAGATTCCTCTAACCCTATCCTTCCTGGATGAGATCCTTATCCCTCTCAGGACTGTTCTTAAGATAAGCAGCAAGGAGGAGGGCAACTGCTTGGGCGTTGTTGGCGCTCCTAGGCAGCCGCAGTGGCTCGAGATTGCCAGTTGGGACTAGCCAAGGGAGCTGCTGAGTGAGTGGTTTTCGAGAACACTCTGGATTCTGGCAGCAGCTAAGCCAGGTTATTTAGAAGTGGGATTGGAACACAGTAGTAGGTCATCATACTTGTTCTAACGCTAAAGCGGAATTGATTGAAAAGGTTCTGGAAGTTTTGAGCCCTTTCCTTATTAGCTACAGACTAATTTGATCCTTATTCTTTTTTTTTTTTTTTTTTTTACAGTTTTGGCCAGGGCCGGGCTTGACCCCACCACCCCTGGTATATGGGGCCGATGCCCTACTCCTTGAGCCACATGCGCAGCCCCTTGATCCTTATTCTTAATCTCCTAACCACGTATTTTACTTATTTATATCAAGTCCCTTATGTCTTCAGTCTGAGTAATTTGAAGTGGTGATATAGAATTAGTTCATGAGATCTAAAATCACGATACTGAGATTTTTACTGTTCAAGTTAGAAATATAAGACAGTGGTTCTCAACCTTCCTAATCCCGCAAAGTATTTTCATTGTTACAAAGGGGTTGCAACCCACAGGTTGAGAACTGCTGATATAAGAGGTACTCATGCAAAATGAATAGTTATCAAGCCAGTTTCTCAAGTTCCTGACCTGTTAGGGGCTGAGAGGCTTGACAAAGCATAGTAAGTCCCTGGGATATCAGAAAAGCCAGGATACCAGAGTCCATTCTTTCTCTTTTCTTAGTTTTGAGTTTTCATGTCGTTCCTACTTCTTCCCAGATACTTAAAGTTAAGCATTATCAGCCTGTTTACATCATTGAAGTGTTGGAAAATGGCAAACCAAACTCCTCTACACACACACTGAGCTTAAATGAAGAGTAGAAATTTGTATTTGGAAAGAATTCAGTGGTTCTTTGTGCTATAAATAGGGACTTGACTATAGGTAATTTTTTTTTTTTTTTTTTTTTTTTGAGACAAAGTCTCACTGTGCTGCCCTTGGTAGAATGCCGTGGTGTCACAGCTCACAGCAACCTCAAACTCTTGGGCTTAAGTGATTCTTTTGCCTCAGCCTCCCAAGTAGCTGAGACTACAGGCACCTGCCACACGCCTGGCCGTTTTTGTTGTTGTTGTTGCAGTTGTCATTGTTTAGCTGGCCTGGGCCAGGTTCAAACCTGCCAGCCTCAGTGTAAATGTGGTTAATGCCATAACCACTGTGCTATGGGCACTGAGCCGACTATGGGTAATTTTTTATTTATTTATTTATTTATTTTCAGACAGAGTCTCACTGTGGTCGCCCTTGGTAGAGTGTGATGGTGTCACAGTTCACAGCAACCTCAAACTCTTGGCCTCAAGCTATTCTCTTGCCTCAGCCTCCCAAGCAGCAGGGACTATAGCAGCAGGTGCCTGCCACAACTCCCAGCTATTATTAGAGATGGGGTCTCACTGTGGCTCAGGCTGGTCTTGAACTTTTGAGCTCAGGTGGTCCACCGGAGTTGGCCTCCCAGAGTGCTGGGATTACAGGTGTGAGCCACCATTCCTCCCTCAAATCTTTTCTTAAAAAAATCACAGCCTAGGTGTAGGCCTCAGCCTCATCTCCAAAAATAGCTGGCTGTTGTGTCAGGTGCCTATAGTCCCAGCTGCTTGGAAAGCTATGACAAGAGAATTGCTTGAGCCTAAGAGATTGAGGTTGCTATGAGCTGTGACACCACAGCACTCTATAGAGGGTAACAAAGTGAGACTCAGTCTGAGGAAAAAAAAAATCACCAGCTCTGCACTTGTGGCTCAAGCAGCTAAGGAGCCAGCCACATACACCTGAGCTGGCGGGTTCGAATCCAGCC